GCAAACTGACCGTGGTTGGCAAACCTCGGCTCTTTGGCCCCTTGAGTGTGGCTCTTCCACAAAATACCACGTGCGGGCACGCATGTATAGTGCGATTGAAACTTCGTGGCCCATGTGCAGAAGTCGGTATTTTGTGGAAGAGCCACACTCAAGGGGCCAAAGAGCCACATGTGGCTCGCGAGCCGAGGTTTGCTGAGCCGCAGTTTGCCAACCACTGCAAGGGGGTAAATTCCCTTTAGAGGGGAAAATGACTCTAATGAGGAATTTAAACAGGAAATTGACTGAAAGTGCACCTGAAATTTATCAAGCAAACAGTAATGAAGAATTACTTTTGAAATTGGATGAGACATTGTTATCCTGAAAGTGAAATGAAGGTTTTCTTTCCTTTAAGGATGTTTCATTAAGAGTTTGAATTCAGTTATGGAGCAAAAGAGAAGCTGCACTTCTGCCTACATGAGACGTGTTTATGCATTAAACAATATTTTCTCCTTTACATGGTCAAGGGGCTATCGGAAAGAATTTAATTCAACAGGCACCATTACAATTTAGAAGTAAACATTATGTCATCAAATATTTATTATGTACCAGTGGGGGCTGAATTACTTTAATAAACAATGCCAGACCAAGTCCCATTAGGCCTGGCCAAGACTAGAGCATTTACAGGTGGCTTTCTCTCTCTTCCTTTTTATCCCTATCCTAACATGATGCCCGCAGGAAAATGCATTAAGCATAGGTTAACACCAACTCCTTGGGGCAAAGTTCTATTTCCTCATTAGGAAATTCTAAAGGTTTTATTTTCTGTGTCGATGACTCTCAGTTTTATTGGGCCAGCATCATGAACATGACCAGAGAACTTTAAAAATATATCCAACCGTGACTTCCTGGTTCATAGGTTGAAGCTCAACCACTGAGCCATGCCCGGTGGCTGGGTGACTGAAGAACTTTTTAGAAATGCAAATTATAGGTACCCAATCCAGGTCAACGGAATCAGAACCTCTGGGTGGGACCCAGCAATCTGTATTTTGTAAGCCCTCCAGGTGATTCTGATGCCTGTTGAAGTTTCAGAACCACTGGTCTAAATGAGAACCTCCTCACAGGTTCCTCAATGCCTCTTTGTGCCATCTTTTGGCTAATTTTTTCAGATCTGTTGTTCAAGTCACAAACTCTTTTGTCAGGTGCATTTTGGGTTTAAAATGTCCTTTGACTTTTTTAATTCTAATTATATCTTTTTAAAAATACATATATATTTTTATTGATTTCAGAGAGGAAGAGAGAGGGAGAGAGAGAGAAACAATGATGAGAGAGAATCATTGACCGGCTGCCTCCTGCACTCCCCCTACTAGGGATCGAGCCCACAACCTGAGCATATGCCCTTAAACCGGACTTGAACCTGGGACCCTTCAATCCGCAGGCCGATGCTCTCTCCATTGAGCCAAACCTGCTAGGGTGCAATTATATCTTTTATTTCTAGAAATTTTATTTGGTTATTTTTCAAATCTGCTTAGTCATTTGTTATAGTTCATTATACCGTATACATGTTTTCAAACTTGGCTTTTAGTTCTTGGAAGAGATCAAACATATTTTATAAATTGTGTCTAGTATTTCATTGTTCTTAAAATTCTTGAAAGTCGGTTTCTACTAGTTCTTCCTCATGGTGCCTTGTTTAGTTATTTTTGATGGTGGGCTTCTCAATTGCATTAGGATTTATTATGGAAATTCATTGAGGACTGGCATGATGATGGGTTCTTGCAGAGATTTGCATTTGCTTCTGCCAGATGGTCTTTGGGACACCAACAGTTTGGGATCACTCTAAATTCTCAGCCTGAGGTTTTTGACCACCCATGTGCTGTGTATTTAGGCTTCAAATGCATGTGCAGATTGGTTTGTGGTTATAAATTCTCAACAGTTTTGGTTTTCCCTCTCATTCAGCACCTATGCTTGAGAGGGTTCATTTTTCTTTAAGGCCCATGATTAAGAACACAATTTTCCCAGTTTACTTTTACTTTGAGGGTGTTACCACTTGGGGTCTCAGTTGTGTGGGAAGGGGAAATTTCAGGTGGAACTTTGACTTTGTCTCCTATTATTATTATTATTATTTTAATCTTCACCCGATTTTTTTCCATTGATGTTAGAGAGAGTGGAAGGAAGGACGGGAGGGGGAGAGAGAAAGAGAGAGAAACATCAATATGAGAGAGACACATTGATTGGTTGCCTCCTGCACCCACCCAACTGGGCTAGGGATCAAAAAAACCTGCAACCCAGGTACATGCCCTTGACCAGGAATTGAACCCATGATCTTTCATTGCATGGGGCTGACATTCTAATCCCTGAGCAACACTGTGCAGGATCACTCTGTCTCCTCTTTTGTTCAATCATGTGAGAACCAAAGTTCATGTTAATTTTGTTCAACATATGATTGCAGAGTAAAATCCAACTTCAGTGGTCCACTGGTTCTCAGTCTTAAGATTAGTTGTTTTTAGTACCAGAAACACAAGTTACACTGGTTTTCATTAAAGTCCATTTATTTTCCTGGTGGGCTCATTCCATATCTACAGAATTCTACCATCTTACCATATTCATATGATGGTGGAGGCAGAGACTGAAGTGCTGTGGCTGTAAGCCAGGGAGGCCACGGGTTTCTGGCACACCACCAGATGCTAGAGACAGGCAAGGAAGGATTCTCCCCTACAGGGTCCAGAGGGACAATGGCCCTGCTAACACCTGATTTCAGATTCTTGGCTTCCAGAACTGTGCCAATAAGTTTCTGTTATTTTAAGCTTCTCAGTTTACAGTACTATGTTTCCATAGCCCAGCTCCTATTCAGAATAATCCATTTACAGCGAAAGGATCTCCAGGCCAGGTGACTGCCTTACAGACCTTAAAGTTTGTGCCCTCAGGAGAAGAGCAGGAGGAAAGGGTGGTGTTCTCCCGAGTGTTAAATCTGCCCTGTGGTTAGGAATGGCCCCTGTGGTGGCCCTCTAGTGTTTGTAACACCCATGGATGTTCCACAAACTGGTATTTGAAACACTTTCTGACAAAGACTTAGTATAAGTGGTAAAAATACCTTTATGATGTAATATTATTTCCTTGTAATATTTAATTAAGGGCAATGACATGGAAAATTGTTGCAACTAGAAAACAAGCTGACATGGTGTTGCTTCTTTTCAAGAGTGCCAGAAGTGGAAAACAGCAAGCCAGTATACCTAGGGAGGCACTCACGAAAGGCTGTGAGTACTGTATGATTTCCAAATCCTGGATTCCACAAAAGATCCAGGAAAAAAATTTCCTTGGGGCTATGTATATATACAGGGTGACCCATTTAAAATAAATGTATACGCACTTTAACAGCTGATAGCTCAATTTTGAAAATGAAATGTATTTTAATATGCACTGCCTTTATAATTATTCAAGTGTGCATATAATTTTTGGGGACACTCTATACTATAGTTAAGATATAGCACTGGCAGTATTTACCAGAGACCTGAATTAGAGTAGGAGTTAACTAGGTAAAGGTGAAGAAGGAACTCAGGTAAGAAGAAGATTCCAGACAAAGGGGGAAAGGCTGGACCAAGGTTGAATGGATGGGGAGAGCACAGTGCCCTTGATGAACTGAAGGAAGGAGTGTGAAGCATGGAAAACAAAGGGAATGGAGTGCAGCCTGAGGCTGAAAGTGGTAGGCAGTGGCTGCCAACGTGAGGCTTTGCAGATCACATTAAGGGAAGACTTTAAAGTGTTTTAAATGTATGACGGGAGAGGAGGGTTGGTGGATGCTGAAACCAGGGGCTTACCTACACAAAGTACACAGAAAGAGAGCAGCAAGCCTTGGGATCAACCTTGCTTACTATATCTTTTATATCAAATGGGAAAACTGTCACTCAAGAGACTTTCATTATTAAAATGTCCATATCCAAAGCAATCTATAGATTCAATGCAATCCCCAATAAAATACCAATGGCATATTTCACAGACCTAGAACAAACTCTCCAAAAATTCATCTGGAATAAAAAAGACCCCCCGAATAGCCAGCAATCCTGAATACCAGGTATCAAGCAATATTACAAATCCACTGTTCTCAAAACTGCATGGTACTGGCACAAGAACAGACATACAGACCAATGGAACAGAACAGAGAACCCAGAAATAGATAGGAAACCATAAAAAATTTTAGAAGAAGACATTGGCAGCAAAATAGCAGACATTTGTCGTAGCAATATCTTTATTGATACAGCTCAAAGGCAATGGAGACTAAGGAGAAAATAAACAAATGGGACTACATCCAAATAAAAAGCTTCTGCACAGTAAAACACACACACACACACACACACACACACACAAAAACACACATCAATACTACAACAAAAAAGCCCATTGCATGGGAGAACATATTTGCCAATGTTATCTCTGATAAGGGTTTAATCTCCAAAATTTATAGGGAATTCCAACAACTTAACAAAAGGAAGATAAACGATCCAATCAAAAAATGGGTAAAGTACTTAAATAGACACCTTTTGAAAGAGGACATACAGAAGGCCAAGAGACATATGAAAACATGCTCAAAGTTACTAATCATCTGAGAGATGCAAATCAAAACAACAATTAGGTACCACCTCACACCTGTCAGAAGGGCTATAATCAACAAATCAACAAATGACAAGTGCTGGAGAGGATGTGTAGGAAAAGGTACCCTCATGCACTGCTGGTGGGAATGCAGACTGAGGCAACCACTGTGGAAAACAGTATGGAGTTTCCTCAAAAA